CTTGTGCAATAACAATTAAAATTTACATCCATGTTCATTACTTTGGTATTCATTCTCTATCCTATTCTTATCTTATTAATATGCACAACATCTCTATTACTATAACACTCCTCTTCTTAACATGTTTAATTCTATAAACCTTTTTTTCTATATTCCACTAATATGTTAGCTATTTCTAGCTTTCGTTTCCTAAACACCGTCTCTATCAGGGGAGATTGCATTGGCTAGGTTGAAGCAGCTTCGTTCTCCCCTTCCTTCCTTCTCCTCCTCTCTGTCTCTCTCTCTTTCTCTCTCTCTCTCTCTCTTTCTTTTTCTCTGTCTCCTCCTCCTTTCTTGCCCCCCTTATCCTCCTTCTCCATCCCACAAACCCCATCCCCCTTTCAGCCAGTGGTTCAGACCGGTTTGTCCAAACCGGTAGTAAAAAAAGCCTCCCAAGATCAGCTAAGAAAAGGGGGAAAAAATGTCAGCTGCACACATGCATACCCACAATCACAAAACTGGTAGTGGAACAGGTAGGATCGCACTGCTGCTTCCAGCACCGATGATATTCCTTCACTGGGTCCCAAAACCTCTACAAGAAAGCCACCAAGTTCAGAGGTCCCCGGGGACACCCCTTGCTCCAGTTCCATCCTGGGCTACAGATTCTCTTCTGTCAGAAGCAACGGCAAGTTAGAAAGATGGTTTGATCTTTGTCTGCAGACCTGAGAAATTGGGGACCATCAGCAAACTATCGGGGCATTTTGGGAGAAGGGAGCAAACCTGTGTGTCCAACCTGAGATCTGAACTTGGTGAGCCCCCAGATAATATTTTTTTAGGGCGGGTGGGTGAGATATGATTGTTGCTTCCTTGGAGCCTGAATGGAAGTTGGCTAAGAGCTTTTGACTCAAGACTTGTGAAGACAATGACCTAGCAAAGTGTATTTGCATCAGCTTCCGTATCCTACGGCTTGAGTTGAAATTCATATCTTGGTCTGTTCTATCCCTTAGAGGCTGCGAGACAACAAAGCAGAAATGACATCAATGTCCTTGTATTGACAGTTACGGGATTGTAAACGTCTCTCTCTCTCTCTCTCTGTGTATATGCGTGTATGTGTGTATAAATATAATGGGGGTTATGTAAAACATTTTGCAATATGGATTGAGCAAAGATTTGAGGGACTGGCATTTGATGACCAAATCAATCTAGCCTCGGATCGTTTAAAAAATTACTTCCTTCTTCCCTCTCATCTTCTTCTTCCTGGTTTCCTTTCCAAAAGGAAGAAGACAACTTCGGGCTTGTGGCACTTTGTGTTGATGCTTTGTGGTGTTTTCTCTTTTGGAGGCTCCAGGGACCGGCTTCAAACATCGGACACTTTAAAAATGAAAGGCATAAAATGAATAAGACGAGCTGCTCCCTGTGAAAAGTGTTCAAAACCCGAGAAGTGACGGTGCCGAGCCTCCCACACCAGCAAAACCTCGACTAGACTCAGACGACATGTTGATCTGCTCTGAGAAATAATTTCTACCTGTTTTTAACACAACCCACAATGCTTAATTATTCTGTGGCTTAGTGTGTCATGCAGAGGAAGCCAAGATGGTGGGTTTCATTTTGTGGCACGTCAGAAAGGAGAGTTTAATTTGGTCCCAAATTAAAAGAGTGAAGTGGAAAAGTCTCTGTCTCTCTCTGTCAGATCCGTGTATCTGTCATTTCTTCAGTGGAAGATGAAAAGCCGGAGGGAGACTGATAAAAAAATCCTTTCTTGATGTAACTTGAATATATTTAATCTTATATTGAATTTGTATAACCCAGACATGATACAATGGAGGGGAAAAAAGCCAGATGGCCAGAACTTATCACCTCTGAGAAACACAGCCAGGAGATGAGAAGATCATACAAATTCCACAGTGAGATGTGTCCTGGGAACCTCTGGAAAAGTTCGTTTTAAAAAGGGGTAGGGGGGAAATTAGGTATACCCTGGGAAACTGAAAGAAGGGGTGGAGGGGGGAAATAACATACTGGCTTTTGTTTCACCAAATACACATCGAGATAAGGGGAGGGGTTCTAAACTCCCTTATCTATCCCTGTATGCCTGAGGGACCTCAGACGCTGCTTTGAACTCGTACATGAATTGTCTCATCTCAGTAAAGGATTCCTTTTGATACGTTTGGTGTTCAGAAGTTCATTCTTGTTAACTGAATGGGAAAAAGTTCTGTAGCCTGACACTCTCTCTGTGTCTCTTTCTCTGTCTCTCTTTCTTTGTTTGTCTGTTGGTCTGTCTCTCTCTCTTTCTCCTTCTCCCTCTCTTTGTCTGTCTGTCTGTCTGTCTGTCTCTCTCTCTCTCTCTCTCCCTCTTTCTCTCTCTCTCTCTCTCTCTCTCTCTCTCTCTGTTAGCCATGTGTCCCTGGTGCTGACCCCTTGCTGGGCTGGATGGCCTCAGGGACGATTACAAATCGCCGGATTTCTGTGTGAGATTTGTCCCGCCAGAATGTAAATCCTGTTGGATTAAAGTTCTTTTCTGCGACTTCCTTGTGGTTAAACCAAATTTTTCCCTTCTGAAGCAATTTCCTCCTCCCTCCTCTCTCCCTCCCCCAAGAAATCCACTCACCTCCCACCCCGGCCTTCCCTTGCCTATAAATGCCTCCATTCCCTGAGCAGACTTGCTACCTGGGGAGGCAAAGGGACAGGTGAGTGCGACTCTCCCACCTGGGGGCACCTGACAGGTGAGGCCCCCCTACATCAGGTCGCTCTGCGTCTCTTTCTCCAACAGAAGGGAATTCTTGCAGGGGCTGTGCAGGATGCCCAGGTGCAGCAGGAGATCTGGGGGAGGCAGGAAGCAAAGGATCTAGAGAGATCTCTGGGGAAGAGAAAGAGACGTACAGGAGGAAGAGATTTCCAGGGAGGCCCCTCCTGCCCTTTACAGAGCAATGCAGGATCCACCGTGACCCACCAAGGCTGCTGGATGACCCAAGGAGGGAGAAATTAGGTCCAGCTGGGCACATGTAAAAATGTGAAACAAAATTTTTTAAAGGAAGTGGGATGCAACATCCAACCCGGGACGTTGGGTCGCCCTTCCTTTAATATTTTTTTTTTTATTATGCATTTTTCATTATTATTCATCACATTTCCAATTTTACCACGTCAGTCTACTGGTTATATCCAGTCCTTTTTTTATATATATGATAGTATACATCCTAGTTATAACTATTATTCTCGTAGTCCCATAGTCTCTTTTGATTACATGGTGTTGTACATCGTACTTATAACTATTATTTTCGTACGCGCGCCACAGTACGCTGTTACATTTATCATTCGATGCATTTTAAACTATATTTATGTACAATCCAATAGCGGCATTGCTTACATTGTGTATTCTTACATATTTCAATATATCTGTATTTATATTTTCTTGATCTTATTTCATTACTGAATACTAATCTCTGCACCTGTTTATTTAGCCATTTATGCAATGTATCCCATGTGAAGTAGCATTCTGCTTCCTCTTCACCTTTCAGTTCCGTTGTTTTAGCCTGTCCAGTTCGGCACATTCTAATATTATTTTTATTTCCTTCTCATCTGTGGGGATATTTTCATTTCACTCCCCTTACCACCAGCCTAGTCGCTCTCCCACTTCTTCCCTCTTTGTTCTTCTCTGCAGGGAAGGAAGGAAGGAAGGAAGACCATGGCGCAATTCATCGTTGTGAGCTTCAGCTTGCTGGTCGTGGCCCTCTCCTTAAGGGGTGAGTTTCAGCAGGGAGACCGTGACAGAATCACAGAGTTGGAAGGGACCGTAAAGATCTTCTAGTCCAGCCCCTGATCAGGCAGGAAAGCCCATAACATTCGGGAGAAACGGCTGTCCAATCTCTTCTTAAAAGCCTCTAGTAGACTCCAGGGACACTGCCCTCATCGTCAATACAATGCCAGGTGCCAAAATTTTGAGGACGTGACGGTGGGGATGCCACGATGGTCCTTAAGTGCGAGATGGGCGACATATAAATGTAATAAATAAATAAGGACAAGGCCTGGGGGTCTCTACCAAATGGGTTTAGCCTCTGGGGTCCGGAGAAACCAATGCTCGTCCATCTCAAACCTCTTCCTGATTTGACCCTCCTGGCATCCTTGCCCCAAAGTTGCTTTTATTCCCTGCTTGGCCTATTCTGCAATTTATATCCCACCTTATTTCTCTGCTCCAAGATTCAGGGCTGTTTGCAATGATACAAAACCAAAGCAAACTCAACAGGATTGAAATGGAGAATTAATTAGAAGTTAAACCCTTGGCAAATATGCATGCCTCGGTCATTAAACGTAGAATGCCAGGAAAAGGAGTAGAAGACCACCGAAGGGAAGGTTGATTCCTTTTTTATTTTGGTATGTGTGTGTGTGTGTGTGTGTGTGTGTGTGTGTATGTATGCATGTATGCATGTATGCATGTGTGCATGTATGCATGTAGGGATGGGATCCTACCTGGTTGGACCAGTTCTATAGAACTGGTTGTTATGATTCTGCCCAGTTCAGAGAACCAGAAAATTGCGCCACTGGCTGGCCCCGCCCTGCCCGCTCACTCCTTACCTGGCATATGCGCGCCATCAAACTTGCCTGCTAAGTTGCTATTTTTCCTTCCCCCTCTCCCGACCATCAGCTGTTCTGCTGTACCGGGAGATTTAGATTAGCTAGAAAGCAGGAAATATTTGGATTTTTTTGCTTTTTAGCAAATCAAAAAGCAGAGAGCTGAACTTTCCTTAGGACTGAAGCTTCTATTTTTCAGTGCAGACTCAGGTAACAGATTGCAGAAAGATAGATCTCTGAATAAATCCGTGATTCTGTGAGCAACTCAATCTGCCTGCCTGCTTTGCCTGCTTTGGGGTAAAAGTTGTTCTTTTTTTAAAAATAAAAAGTTCAATATTTACATTAATATTTACAATATTTACATACAAGCCACGCCCAGCCAGTCATGTGAAGCCACACCCAGTCAGCAAACCATGCCCACCTAGTCACATGACCACCAAGCCCTAACCACTAGGCCAACGTGGGTCAGCTGGGACTTGAGGCATGAAAAGGTTAATCTGTCTCTTGGAGGTTCCTTTGCACCATTCACTGAATGATAAATCAACCCAGGTGGAAAGAGTCACACAAGATATGAACCTTCCAGGGAATTCACCAGGACCAACCAGGGGTGGGCTTCAAAAATTTCAGCAATGGGTTCTCTGCCCAGTTGCTGGGTGGGTGTGGCCATGGTGGGCGTGGACTAGGTGGCCTCCTGCACCACGGCGGGGCAGGGCCAGGGCTTTTCTGCCCTCCACGGGCTCCGGAGGCTCTCTGGAAGCTGGAAATGGGCTCGTTTCTGGCTTTTCCAAACTTCTGGGAGGCCCGTTTTTTGCATCCTCCCAGGCCCTGTATTCACCTGGCATCCAAAACTGGCTGTGTGGGGACCCCCGGGAGGGGTAGAGCCAGCCAGAGGTGGGATTTACTGGTTTACCAAACTGGTCATTAAAACTGATTAAAATTAGCTACCGGTTCACTCGAACCAGGGCGAACCGGTAGCCGCTCACCTCCCCGCCGACTCTAACCAAGGTTTGGACAATCTGCAAATATCACAAAAGGTCAGCTGCAATTTATCGTCATCAAAGATGTTTGCAACTTAGCAGGCGAAGCATGTTCTGCAGCTCCAGCCGTCTCCTCTTCCTCCTCTTCTCCTGGCCATCTTCTCATTGCGCTCTCTCTCTCTCTCTCTCTCTCTCTCTTTCTTTCTCTCTCTCTCTTCTCCTACATAGACACTGGAGCTGATCACCATTGTCCTCGCGGTTGGGCCTCCTATAATGAGTTTTGCTACATGGTCTACAACAGATCCGTGACCTGGAACAATGCAGAGGTCAGAAATGTTTGCGAATCTCTTAGCCCTGGTAGGGGAGAAGTCTAGGCAGAGCCCCGAAGACCCTCAAAGACCCCTCTGGCTAAGCTGGTAGAGGCCACCAGGCTGGGATGTCTGCATCCATGGCAAAGATGAACGTTCTTCCGGTAGCCTGAAATCCGGATATTTTGAGGACTTTTCCTCGGAGTCCATTTGAACGTCCCTTCTCCAGCCTTTGAGCCACCAGGAAACGGGACCAGGGTCACCTTTGCTGCCCAGAGCTGACAATTCCTCCCCTGCCTCTGGACATAAGATAGGAGGATGGCAGCCGGACCCAAAATTGTTGTGGGGGGGGCAGGCAACATACGAACTCTGTAAACTGCTTAGAGAGGGCTGTAAAAGCACTGTAAAGCGGTATACAAATCTAAGTGCTTATTGTTTATGGGTAGCATATGGGGCTACGGTTTGCTTTCTTCCACTCCTGCCATAAATCCCCACTTTTCTTAATGTGGTTTTTTAGATTTGTTTTTAGTCTGGTTTTTTTTTTAACAAATAAGGTGGCCGCCACACACAGAATCGTCCTCTGCCCTTCATTTTTCCCCATAACAACAACCCTGCGAGGCAGTGGTGGGATTCAATTGTTTTTTACTTACTGGTTCTGTGGGTGTGGCTTGGTGGGTGTGGCTTGGTGGGCGTGGCAGGGGAAGGATATACTGCAAAATCCTCCTTCCCTCCCCACCCCACTAACCTGCTTTCCAGCTCCGTTCTCCTGGGCAGGGCAACCAAAGAAGACCCAGCCGATCAGCTCTAGGCGTGGCCTGGTGGGCGTGGCATTCTGTGGGTGTGGCTTGGTGGGCATGGCAGGGGAAGGATACTGCAAAATCCCTCTTCCCTCCCCACCCCACTAACCTGCTTTCCAGCTCCGTTCTCCTGTGCAGGGCAACCAAAGGAGACCCAGCCAATCAGCTGTGGGCATGGCGTGGTGGGGGTGGCGTTCTGTGGGCGTGGCTTGGTGGGCGTGTCAGGGGAAGGATATACTACAAAATTCCCCTTCCCTTCCCTCCCCACTAGCCTGCTTTCCAGCTCCCTTCTCCTGTGCAGGGCAACCAAAGGAGACCCAGCTGATCAGCTGGGACTCAATGGGAGGCGGAGAATAGATATGGGGTTGGCGGGGCCAGTCAGAGATGGGATTGGCCGGTTCTCCGAACGACTCAACGTTTCCACTACCAGTTCTGCAGAACCGGTCAGAACTGGCTGAATCTCACCTCTGCAACAAAATGAGGATGGTGACCAGGACCACGCAATCAAATCCCGGCTCTTCTTCTCTCATAGAAACAACCATGCATACCTGCTTCTCGGCTAAACAAGCCTCTTTCTCACCTGTTTCTCCCTGCCAGAGATTCTGCCTGCAGCAAGAGACAGACTGCCACCTCGCCTCCATCCATAGCAAGCCAGAGGCAGCCTTCCTAGTCAGGCTGGCCTACCACAGGGCCAGCGCCGGGTCCAGTGTCTGGATCGGGTTGAACGATCCAGAGAAAGTAAGTCCTCCGTTCCCACGTTCGTCTTTATCGATTTATCTTGATGGGTTTTATTGACAAATCCTCCCAAGGGAGATAGGGAGCCCTCTGTTGAATGTTCTCGCCTTGGACAACACCGTGGAAAATAGAAAATGTCAGGGCTCCGGTAGTTGACCCCATTTAAATCATGAGTCTCTAGCCGGATTTTCAAAACCTTAAAGATTTATTCGGAGTAAATACATCCGGCACTGCCTGGGTGTAGCCGACTCTGAGACACAATAACATTCATTGTCACCCTTGACCCTGGTTCCTCTCCCATCCCCTGGGTGTATCATGATTCATATCCTCCAATGGGACACATCCATAGCCCAGAGTTATCAATCATTCTCTCCAGTTAGAAATTTCAGTCCTCTAGTTACTATCTTTGAAAACATTTATGGAATGCACTTTCGATTTCCAAGCTGCCGCATTGCTCCCCCCTCCCTTTCTGTTGGCAACTCTAAAAAGACCATAGAAATATTTTGTGAGTTGACAGAAAACTTTTACTCCCATCCAGTCTCTCTCTCTCTCTCTCTCTCTCCCTCTCTCTTTCCCCTACCTAATCCTTCCTGCCCCGTTGAAGAACTGTTTGGTGTCTTGAAAGCCCCAGAGGGATGGATCCTGCCCTGGCCCCCATCCAGGGGTGGGCTTCAAAAATTTTAAGCAACTGTTTAATGAGAAAACGAAATACGAAATTGAAATAGGACAGACCAAAGTATAAATATGATGACTAGAAAGGTATTGAAACTTAGAAATATATATATGTATATGTATATATATATATATATGTTTTCTTAAGTTTTCACGGGTACTTACATGTATGGCATTCGGCTTTGCTCGGGCATTTTCCCACGTCATAGTAGTTGTGCTTTTAAAGTTGTAGCGACATTTCAGCAGAATCTCATCTGCCATCATCAGGCTTCTGTATGGCAAATGAGATTCTGCCGAAATGTTGCTACAACTTTAAAAGCACAACTACTATGACGTGGGAAAATACCCGAACAAAGCTGAATGCCATACATGTAAGTAAACGCGAAAACTTAAGAATATATATATGTGTGTGTGTGTGTGTGTGTATGTATGTATATGAATATATGTATATATAATTGAATTTAGGAAGGAATGAGATAATTACAAGTAAGATTGAGAAAACTAAGGGAAGGGAAAAAGTATTGAGAAAATGTTAAAATAGTAATGATATGGAATAGAACACAAAGATGAATATGAAATTGAATTTGTGTCTGTATGGAGAAGTGACAGCTCGGGACCATGCTCTTCTCAAAAAAAGAAATTTTACTCGTATTATGTTTTGTGGAAACCAAAATAAAATTTTTATAATAATAATAATAAAAATATTAAGCAACTGGTTCACTGCCCGGTTGCTGGGTGGGCGTGGCCTAGTCAGTCTCCTGCACCACGGTGGGCGGGGGGGTGTTGCCCTCCCCGGGCTCCCGAGGCTGGAGATGTGCCCCCCC